TATCCTTAGATTTTGTTGACAAGTTCACTTCCTTTCTGTGAGCATCCCAAATGCAAGATCTTGAATTTAACCCAAGATTAAATGTTCAAAATTAAGTGTGTTTATTTTCTGCAATGGCAATAATATTTTACCAAGACTACGTTCCTGAAGAACAAAGCAGCTGTGGTGTCACAAGTCATACCATCATTTTCTCCACAATACATTGCTTAGTTTTTTTGCATTAAATGAAAACAATCCAATGGACAGCTTGACTTCTCTTTCAGTTCAAAGAAAAGTGTGTGTCATGCTTTATTTTTAACAGCACTCTTACTCTATCCTGTACTATTTCTTTATCAGAATTCACTTTTGATTTCATATATTCTAGTGGAGAGGAAAGGAGGCTGGAGCTGCTTCACAGTACCTCCTATCTGGGCTGTTGCAGTCCCACCTGCTGCCAAAACACTGCCTTTAACCCCTCTCCGAGGTTGCTTTCCTAGCCTCAGAGAGCAGCCAGTGCAGTTTTTTTTTTTTTTTTCTGGGCTGGCTGTGAGGGAGTGATGGTAGGAGACCAGAGCTCCTACTTCCAGATTTAAGGTTAGAGCATTGTCTCAGAGAGCTGCAAAAGCACCCTGTCCTATGCTTCTCTACAGATAATAGTTAGGGCTCATAGGATCATTCCTCTAGCACTCAAATATTTATTGATATTTACTTGTTTGGATGAAAATAATAGCCGTATGTGAATTAATGGGCTTACTGCAACAAACCTTGTTCCTTTCCAGAATCAGTTATGCAAATGTGGTTGCATGATTCAATACCTGATTCAAGTACAAATTAATCTATCATTCTATATTTCATTAAGCATTAGTATTTTCTCTGTTCATAGATAAACTGAGTTAAATATTTAAATCTAATTGGATAAATTGATAAATTAATGTATTCATTTGTCTTGTAAAATTTCATTACATTATTTATTTTTAGAAATGATGTAAGGATAAATGAATTAAACATTTATATTTATTTATTTATTTGGTACTGATTTAAATCTCTCACTTTGTTCCCCCTCCGCATGTGCGCGTGCATGTGTGTGTATGCTTTACAAGTATTTAATTAATTAGTCTTGCTTAATTGCATGAGCTGTCTGATTAGGTAGGAGTAAATGCATAGGAAGATGATTATAGCACCATTGTTGTTGTATCGTTGCTCCCACAGGCTGAGAGCTGGAATTCATCAGAATTTTGTTCAAGGAATGACTCCTGTTCTAAAAACCTTCAATTTCTATTCATTAATTCATCAATTAATCTCAAATCGTATTTAAAAGGTTCTTATTCCAAAAAGAGGAGAAGCTGCCTGTTAATGTCACAGAAACCACTCTCATCGCTAAACTCAGATTTTATGGTTATAACTGGAATTTTGGCAACTAAATTAAAATAACATTCCTGATATCCAACCAGAACAAATAAGTTTTATTAAGGGAACATCATACAAAAAGGGCATTTAATGCCAAATAATGCTATGATTAACTTTGTTACCAATCCTAGGAAATCCTACTGAAGAATTAAGTGAAACACTTAGCTAGTATGGAAGTCCACCAGTACATATTATCCAGAAACCACTCTGCAGGGAGCATATCTTCTCCAGGAAACTTCCAAATCTGTTGATTAAGCTCTGGTGGTGGACACTTGTGGTGAAGCATGGTTTCTTGATGTCAAGCAGTCAACTTGGCAGTGGGGCACCTACATAGCCCTGGCCCAGCAATGAAATGTAGCACCAGTTTGAAATGTTTCCCCAGTCTTGGGCTTGTTATATGCATCCAAGCCATATTTACATATTTACTTTCTTGAGCAGGCAGGTCACCAGTTGCCAATTCTAGGGTTAAATTCTGCAATGTATACATATGAATTTAAAAACTCTTCCAATATTTTTATCTTATTAAAAGTTTCCCTTTATTAGCTGGGCATGAGTTCCGTTACCTTTTCTTAAAAGCACTTGCAAAAGCCACAGGAGACATTTTCTCTTCTCTCACACAAGAGGAAATGCCTCTTAGATGGTATCTATGAAGACATATGCATACTTCATCTGAAATAAGCAATGATTTATCCCCCAGATTTAGTATTTCATTATATAAACAAATGCCAATTTAATGGATTAATTGAAACTCATGCAACTAATGAGCTCAATTTCTACAATATTCAAATACTTCCAGATAAATAAACCTGTGGATAAAACTACTTATAGAACAATCCTATGGTCTCTAGGTGATTTCTAGAGCATTACAGGATTGACAGCTCTGAGGAAGGAAAATGGCTTTGACCTTGGAGCTGGGAATCTGCACCGGCTGCTTCTCCAGTGTCACAAAAGCGACCTCAGAAATGTTAAGTGGGCATTGTAGGAGTTGGGGAGAGGACAAGACCAACAGCATCAAGATATAACCTATCCTGGCAGCACCTCAGCCTCCTTCCTTGATGCACCAAAGTTCTTCAGTTAGCCAAAACCATCCACTGAGCTGTTTTGCAGAGTGGGAGAAGCAGAGGGGCAAGTTATGCACTCCCCCTGCTCTACGCAGATGTCCAGAATCCTTCAGTTTTGGTGGGTTATGGGCATTCCCACATGACTCTGCCCTTAGAGATATGCTTGAAATTCATTGGCACCACATCCCCACACTTCAAAGCACTGCATCCATCTATTATTTACTTTATTGTACTTCTCGTCTTTTATCTCATTACATACTCATTCGCAAATTATTCTGAAATTTAAATATCTTCTTAATGATTTGGGCTTTTCAATAGGAATTAAACGTCATTTTAACTGTTAATACTATTTATTTATTTTATTCTTCGGCCAGGGCGACTTATTTTATATTATATTGTTAACTTGTTTTATATTTTATTGTATTACATTTTAATTGATATCTTTGTGAGCTGCCCCGAGGCTTCGGCGAATGGGGCGGCATCGAATTTTCTAAATAAATAAATAAATATTCCACATAGATGCTTCCGTTTGGATTGTTTCAATAAGGAAAATTCTGCTCTCCTGGTGTAGACCAGTTTATAACCCATTGCAATTGTCACCCCACTTCATTGCACTAGTTCTTAGATAAGCTACTTGGCTTTCTCTTTTGAACATCACAATGCAGTGTGCCACATTATGCACTTGTACCAGTGTAAACATCACTTTGGGAAGGTTTCTAACCAAAGATTACGTTCAGCTATACTTGAGTCCATGGCTTTCAGTAAAAACAAATCTGCAACCAGGAAGCATTTCTCAATCACACTTTGTTTCAGTGGCTTATGTACTTTTTTCTCCTTAATTAATCACCCAATTAACTTCCACACTCAATTTAAAGAGCTCTAAATGGTTTGGATCTTGCCCAGACTTTAAGATAAGCCACATGCCCTGCCTGAGGTTCTGTCAATAAGATCAGTGAGGTTAATGGGTACAAGAGACAGGGCTTTTTCATTAGTCAAATTTTAATAATCTCCTATTTAAATTACTGCAAAATGCCTTATATTGGGTTATATCTGAAGAGCATTCAAAACTTGCAGCTAACACCAAAAGCAGCAAATAACTATGTGCAATTTGTTGGCAATATTAAACTGGCCCTGTTTTAACCATAATAGCTTATATTTCGTTTTGGAAGCAATTCAGGTTGGGTTCTAAGCTACAAAATCCAAAACAGTTTGAGGCTAGGATATCTGAAACATCACCTCATCTCATATGAACCTTCCCTTAGCTTTCCATCTACTTGGGAGTTCTCCTTTATGTCCTGCCATCATGGGATAGCAAATTGGTGGAACCACTGTACAGGGCAATTTCTGTGGTAGCACCTCAATTGAATTCCTTCTTTTTGGAAACTAGACTAGCTTCATTTTTTTCATTATGTTTACTTCCATTTATTTCTCATTTCTATTTAAGTGATTAGGTTTGAAAAGGGGCATCTCCTGCCTTTTTAATCTTGTGTTGATCTTGGTATTTTTATACAACTGACCCTCACAGATAAAGTAGACTTTGAAACGATGTTAACTATATGTAGATCCCAGCACAGGGAAGAGCAATTAATCAGTATTCCAATTCCTAATTTAGGGTATTTGGGGAAAACATGAAAATAGTAAATAGCTTAAAATTTCTGGCCCTTTCTTTTGATTGAAAATTAGCACAGAATACTTCCAGACGGAAGCGTCCTACTGCTACCAGTCAAAACCTTACAGTCCAGCTATAGCTTATTTTTCTCCCTAGGGCGCAATCCTATGCTTGTTTGGATAGAAAGAAGATCCTAAGGCTCCCAGCATGCTCCACCTCGACTGGCTAGCTAGGGCATGCTGGCAGCTGTAGGAAGAGACATGCCTTTCACGAGTTGTACCTTTCACGGGTGTTTTTTTTTTTTTTCCTTTTGTGGCGGGGGTGGGATTGCACCCCGTAGAGCAGCGACAAGCCAGACTGGTCTGGATGCAACTGAAGAACAAAACCAAACGCGTCCAGCATCAAGGGCAGAGAGGCTAGAAGTCTCCGTCAGGAGAGCACGAGGGAGGCTGGCTGGCTGGCGGGCGGCGGGAGGGCGCGCCCGCCCCAAGTACCTCCATCCCACCTGCAGCGCAGCTCAGCCCGCCCGCTCGCGCTTTCCCGCGCTTGCAAGACTCGCGGGCAGAAAGCGCCCGCCTGCCGCTCTGCCCCTGCCGCTCGCCAGTCGCCGGCCGGCCTTGACTGACAACACAGACGCCCCGTCACGTGCCGCGCTCCCTGCGCCACGCCCCCTCCCGCGCCTCCGCCCCTTCCGTGGCTCCGTCCGCCCGTTCTGCTGCTCCCTTTTGCGCGCTTGGTCGCCAGGCGCGCGTCCGGCGGTAGGTAGAAATTTATTTGAGTGAAGTTTGCAGCGTGGCGGGAGGGCTGCTGTTCGCTTGCGTTGTAGCTGAAGGTTGGGGGTCCTCCCGCCTACTTCCTCCTGTAAAACTTCGCCGACGCGAACGCCCCGCGAATCGAGGACTGGGCTTTCCAACTCTGGGTCCGAGCCGGGCCAAGAGCTGCGCTTGGAGAGCCCGGCTCCTGCGAGCGGCGAGGAGTTTTTATTTTATGCAAGGAAAAGCACCGACTCGTGAGTAAGGAAAGGAAGTTTCCCTCCCTTTCCCCACGGCATCCTCCAGCCCCTATATAGCCTGGATACGGCCTCCCCTCTGCGTACAAGTCTTTCTCTACTAGTAGGGGGACCAGATGCAAAGAAGAGGAACAGAAGGGGTTATTGATAGACGTTGGGAAATTTACATTGCACACTAACATTCAAACCCACAACATTCCTTAACTTCGCAGCAGGATTGCAGAAAAGTGAATTTTGGCAGGAAATTTCTTAGCTCTGCCTAAGAAACCGGAGTTGCCCTAATTCCCTCTTTTATGCATCTGTTAAAGGTAGTGGTCGTCTCACACCTTCTGCATCTGGTGGCTTTTCTCTTTCTGTTTTTAGAACAAATCTTAGACACAGAAATAGTGAGGGGCCCCATAAATGTTTGTGGTCACCAAGAGCCTTCTCTCCGTCTTATCCTAGTCTTGGCACTACCAGCTTGGAGCTGGAGAGAATGGTGGGTGAAGTTGCAGCCAGCTGTTGAAGCACTTGGAGGGCTTGTTAGAGCTCCTGCCTTCTGCACATCCAGCACTGACCTTGGAATTATGACTTGTTTTGGTGCTGAATATTGGAGGGACATCAGCACCTTTGGCTGTTTTACAACCCAGGTTCTTTTCCAGATCCAGAAGGGAAGCGTTGGGCTTGCTTTTGCCTTGGGTAGCCGGATATATTCTAAAGCATATTAACCCACTAGAAAGCAGTGGAATCAATAGCATGACAAAGTTGATGAATGGAATTGTTGGTGCCCAGTAGTGATGCCTTCAGTGCAACTTATGGGGTGATACATGTGTGTGTCCCAATGCACCAGCTGAGGGGCTGTGGTATAGACAAGTTGTTAATTTCATAAAATCCTCACTGTGAAATAAATAGATCTACCCGGGCCAAAACAATAATTTTCTTTTAGGTGTGAATTTTAATTAAACCATTGAGAGTTGTAGGCTTTTAAAACACATCAGTCAGCCTTTGTGTCAAGACTGTGCAGTAGTTATCTGTTAAATTACTTCTGAACAGGACAGATTCTTTCATAGGTAGATGTGAAAATAAGAGTATTTGTGGCAAGAAACCACCTTCCATTGTTTCTTGATGCACTGCAATGTTATTCAGTGTAAAACTCACTGACTATGTCCACCTTACAGAAAGCATGTACATTATGCAGCTCTTATTTAAATTAAGGCATTTAGTTGGTGGGAATTCCTGAATATTTTAGTAAGATCCTTGAAAATTAGAATGTTAGGGGGGAACCTGGGCCAAGAAATCTATTTGAAGCTTCTAGCATGTTACTTTACTTAGAGTCCCTCAGTATCCATACACAGAAATAAAAAAGTGCTTCACTGGGAAAAGATTTTTTCTCTTCATTAATAATTGGTAATTACACCCCCGTAATGACCCCCTTGGTGCAGATGCAGAAGAAATTAGTTAGGCATATGATAATTGCAGCAGTTGCTAGCTCAGCTGTACAATGGTGCAAGAACTAATGCACATGCTCCAAGCAACCAGTTATTCATAGCAACTAAATTTTATAGTTCTTCACGTGCATTTTCCATTATGCCCTCAAAATGTACAGTGCTTCATGTTTGACTCCTCTTGTAGAGAGAATAAACCTCCACCCAGTAGTTGTGTAGGATCAAGAACTTTATAAAATAGTGTTTGTTTCTGTACAGGAGAAAGGAGCTCAGTGCTAGGTGCCATGTTCAATCCCTGGCATTTCCAGGTGGATTACATCTGAAGATAATGGCTGATGGACCAGTATAAGACAGTTTCCTATATATATATATATTGTTTCCATATGACCCATTGCTCTCAGGTGTGAATAAACCAGCAAAACAATGAAGGAGGGGAATAATATTGTTGAGTAAAGCAGTCTTTCCCAACTTTGCATCCTCCAGATGCCTTGACCTACAACTCGCATCAGCCTCTGCAGCACAGTCAGTGGTAACAGATAGTGGGAGTTGGTGAAAGCTAGTCTAAAATTACAAATGTCAAATCCTAAGCACTTTATCCCACATCGCTGCTTGTAGTCCTCCAAACCAAGGATTATTGGTGTCCAGTTGAAAATGGAAGGAACATGGTGGGCAGGATTGTTTCTGTGTTACTTTAACCCTGCAAAATCATAGGTGACTGATTTCAGCCATCTATGTTTTTTGCCCCTGCTCATGAGGAGGAGTGGCTGAAGCACTGTGGAGATTCCCCTGGTCCTGGTAGAATCTCACTGCTACCCTCCCCAGCACAGTTCCAGTTTGCACATGTGAAGAGGCACAGCTGGTGCAGAAAGAAGGGTGGAGGGAGAGTGTTAAGTGCTCCAGTTCTGATTTTGGAATGCATTACCAAGGTTGGAGCTGTTACTCTGAACTATCCCATGGCTATTTGCACAGCATCTAATGGCCATAAGATTGCCCTGTCAGTTTCCAAAAAAAATTGTCAATCATTTTTATTGACAGTAAGACTTTTGGTAGTCTCGTATTTTAATGATTTGTACTATTGGCATGTTATCTTGTTGTTTTTCTGGCCACTTACTATATTGTGAGTCCTGATGCTGAGAGCTTGAAGCATCAAGTTCCTGTAAGCTCATTTCTGTTTACACCTTATGCTTCCTGTAAGATGCCATGTAAATTCTGAGGCCATGTCACTTGTGTTGGCTACATAAATAGAGTTTAACATGTAAAATAAGTGGAAGATACTTTAAACAATGAAGTTATATGTTGGTTAAAATGCAAAGTATGGTAATGAAGTAAATCGCCATGGTACTGAGCTAGTATTTTGGATGTGTAAGCAAAATATGCAGTTTGTAACAAAATGTCACAGTGTGGGCTGTTCAGAGTGCCAGCCTGCCTTGCCCTCTTCCAGGATACGTTGTTCCATTTTCTTTCCAGGTTTTAGTTCCTTTCGTAACATGTAACATTCATACCCAGCTCATGCTGAACCGAGTTTGCTTTTTGGGCTTTTCTTCCCTTAGAATTATTTCAAATTCTTCTAATCAAGTCAGTCAATACTGGATGGTACCATTTTGGGTACATATAGGGCTGGATCCAGGATCTGCATTTTGTAGGTGCAAGGGCTCCCTTCAGGGAAGGTACTTTTTGGAGATTCCCCAGAGCAGGATCCCCTGTTGTGTTGCATGTTCTGGGTGTTAGAAGGGCTCCTGTGAGGAGCAGAGGGTGGAGAAGTTCCACAATCCTATTGTTTTTGTTACATAATTAATGTCTATCTCACCCTGGGCGAGGAATGACAGTAATAAATGCAATATAATACCATATAAAATAAAACATTAAAATTGAATCAGAACTGCATTTAAAACTACCTTTTCTACAACTAAACAGCTAAAACTGTCTAAATATGGATTGAACCTAAGACTAGCATGTTTGCTAAAACAAACTGTACATTAAGGGAGAAAATTAGCATACAGCTAAAAATACTTAAATTGTATTGAGACCAATACAATTGGTCCTACCAGGTATTGGCATCAATTGGTTACCTGTACTGGAACCTCCTCTCAAAAAAGCTGTTGCTCAAACAGCCAATCCTCCATCCCCGAGGGACAAGGTGTTTCTGACCTCATGCTGTGACTGATGTGCAGCATGAGGTCAGGGAAAAATTGCTATTTTGTCCAGCTCTAAACCTGGACTGTGTGCACACAGATGTGTGCAGAAAACAACAGCTCAGAACTCGAGGACTGCAAAATATTTTTCTGACTTGACACCAGCTGCACACTCTGAATTTAGACAGAGTGACAAGCCAGTGGGCCGTATCTCTCAACATATCTCTCAACTCAGCTGAAGAAGGCAGAGGGTAGCCAGAGACCAGATTCCCTCTTTCCAGATTAAGGGGGGCTGAGTGAGATTATCTGCAGTCCTTAGTCCTGAGAAGGTATAAGATCATTTGCAATCTGAACCATCCTTTGTACTTCTGGTTATTTCACTGTATGTCACCTTCTAGGATACAAATATAAGCAATGCATGCTACAGGAAACATTAAAGTAATAAAATCACAATTAACAGTATAAATAACAACAAGAAATGGTTCATGTGAATTGTGTATGTGTAATGGAGCTAAATGTGAAGATAACACATGCCAGTGTTATTATGAGAGATTCTGGAAAAATGAATACTTCTGTGGCTGACTTTATCTTCCATTTTTCTTTATGAACTGAAAACAGATGCTCAAATTGGCAGATATATTTAATGCTCCAAGTGATGATGAAGACTTTCTTGGTTTTGGAGCTGATGTTCCCATGGAAACACTGTCACTGGAAGACAGCTATGAGAGTTTTGATTCGCTAGACTCAAGAAAAATGGTAGGGAAATCTTGTAACCAATTATGACTAAGTTTCTATCCATGGTCAAACCAAAGCCTGATTTTTTCTCCCTTCCAGAATAGTTTATAAAAGTAAAATTAAGTGTATTCTGCTTTTTGGATCACACAATTGCTATTCATAACCCTTAAGTATTATAAGTAGGCAATCTAGTGAAAGTCAAGCAGTTGTGGCTCAGATTTCTTTGGGAGAATTAAAGTAAGTTCATAATATTTTGCCACTGGAAGATATAAGAAAGTGCTAAAAGGTAGTATCTTGTTTGTTAAAGAGGCAGACTTTAATTTATGTATCTGTGGAGATTCTTTAAGGAATTTTGAGCAAGTATGTTGCAGTAGCCTGATTTGCAGGTTACTAGAGCACTGAATATGGTAGAGGGGATACAGTAGTGTACCAGCTGACATTGGAAATAGGGGCTTCCAGTCATGGCCACCACTGGAAGAGTTCAGACAATGAAATCAGGTCCCATTATATTCCTAGGCTTAAACCAGATTCTTAAATCCTGTGTAGAGCAAGCTCTTGGCAAGAGCAGCATGGGCATCCACCATTAGTAACTTATTTTGCAATCCTAGGCATGCTTACTTAAAAATAAGGGGCTATCAAATGCACTGGAATTTAATTCCAGATAAGTGTATGTAGGATAGTGGCCTCAGTTTTATGTAGATTGAGCTTCAGCTTGTGGGTTCTCATGCAGCTTCATACTGATTCCAGGTAATAACCAGGCTGAGTTGTCATCTCACTGGAATTCGGGGGATATGAAATTGGGGTGCGGATATATAATTGTTTTACTAATGACATCCAAGCACCAGATCCTCACATTATCAGTATCTAGTATATGTATTCCACAGCAGCGGCCTGTCAAAACGGCTTACTGAGTAAGAGAAGTCGTCAGGTGACTACCACCAACCTTCAGCTGTCTATTGGAGCTTTACCAAATGCCTGGTTGTACATCAACAGGGAGACACCTGTTCCATCTTACCAGGTCTCAGTGATACAAGCCCAATCAGACTTTAATTGTGGATGAGCAGCAGGTTTTGCTACTCATTTAGCAGCAGAAACCCTTGGAGTTGATGGGCACTTGGTGCTAGTCCTCTGAACTTCTGGCTGAAGGAGAAGTTGGACAGTCCTTGGCCGGTTCACACAAATCTGGGCTAACAAATTTCAGTGCACTGACAGGAGCTTGACCAGCTTGGAAAAACAGGCTCCCAAGTAGGTACAGCATCTCTACAGATTCTAGTACCAGGAAAAGCCTTTGCCACAGGTACTACGGGCTCACAAGTGGTCTATCTGTTTGGAAAATGTGTGTTCTAAGGAAAGCCATAACACAGTGTATGTCTGATTTCAGTCTGTCTCAGCCATAAGTTTCCCATTGGAGTAACTTCCCCTTGTGTGTGTACATTGTTCATTTTCTTCTCCCTTCTAAGAAGCTGCACTAAACGTATCAACAGAAGTAATTTTTCTGAGAACTCCCTCCAATTATCCTTAATAATTCATAGAATTTTTTTAGAGTGTAGAATGATTTTTCCCTTCTGTTCCCTTGGTAGTTTTTTCATCCATCTATTGTAAATGATTTTCACTTATATCATCTCAGTATAAAGAAGTATATAATTATATTTAGGGAAAGACAGTGATAATTGGGAATAAAGATAACCTGCTGAAGTTCAGTTTTATGAAAGGTCACTTTGAATCTCACATGAGAAGAGGAAGCAGTGAAGAAAAAAGAAGAAAAACTTTAAAACACACCAGTGTAGCTGTCCAATGTGTGCTGTGTGTGTGTGCAATTTTCATTTGTCTTGTGCTAGCATTTTTTCCAAGGCAGAAAGATTGACAGATGTTTGAAATATTTACTTTTTTTTTTTTTTTTACAAACATCTCTATCTAATTTTTGGAATCTTGCAGCAACTCTTTCATTTAATGTTGAAAGTGAAAAAAAAATCCCAACAACCTGCAAGAAGAAAAAAAAAAGATTTCATTGTATGAGAAGTTGCAGGATTTTTCTGTTTGATATTGATATTTAATATTTATATCCTGCATTTATTTCTGCAAGGAAATCAAGGTGGTTTTTCGTGTGTCTTAGTGAGAGATATCCAGATTGTGCAAATACGTAAGTTGGGTTCCTTAAAGCTTCTTAGGGTGCAATTCTATCTGGATGCCTTCTTGAATATGGAGGCACTCTTCTCTTCCCTGCTCTGCATTTTCCACCATCTAGTGACAACGTTTCATATGGGGAGAAAAGAAGGCTGGAGTAACTTCAGGATGTCTTGTATCTTGGCTGTTCCAGTCTCTACCCCCGTTTTGTTCTCTGAAGTTGCTTTGCTGTCCTTGGAGATCAGCAGTTGTGGTTCTTTTTGCGCAGGGGATTGGGGTTGTGGTTTGCAGCTCCAAGAACAGAACTGGGAATCTGAACTATCTTATGCTCCATCAGACATTGTCTAGGGGTTTTAGGATCATTCCTGGTAGAAAGCTCATGGAAGACGTGGTTCATTACCAGTCCTCCTCCTAGCTATCTACATCCCCATCCCCAATCCAGTTAGGAGGGCTGGAGTCCTGTGCTGAAAAATTGGAATTCAGGAGGGAATGAGTGAAAACTGGTGTTGGCTCATAACGTTTCTATCCCTCCACCCTTCAGCAGAACCACATGCCATTTCATTGTTTAGGAGGCCCTTCTGATGGATTTTGTGGGGTTTATGGATAGCTGTAGGGAATAAGAGGATATTGGAAGTTTCCCTCCTATGAACTTCCTTGAGTCATCTTCCATCAAGAGAACTTTCAGCAACACCCTTAGCATAGAAATGTTTTAGTTTCCAGTGGGAAGGGACGAGAAGGGAGGATAATTGTTTACCTAAATGATCTCACTTGTTTCTTCCATGATTATTTATCTTTTATTTTCCTGTAGCTGGACCTTATATTTTTCCATCTGCACAATCATTTTTTGATATTTTGTGCTCCCCTGTTTATTGGGAACAATGTTGTGTATTTATGCTTGATGTTTCAGGACTTCCATTTTCAGCCCAATTCCCTAACAGAGAAACTGAGGAAGATTTTCACTGAAGACACAGATTCAGAAAATGAAGCATTTGAAGGCTTTTCTTCAAATGAGCGTGAAGTAAACAGTGAGGAAGATGTGGAGGTGAATTTCCGTAGTATTAGTTATCATATATGCATACATAATTTATGGTGCAATCCTGCAGTCTCCAGGTGTGTCAGGGTGGTAGTAGTCGTAGGATAGGTTGGAATCTCAGACCTGATCTTGGAATGCCTTCATAGCTGCTGTGGCTCTTCCTGCACTGGCTGCGCTCATAGACAGATCACCTTTGATGAGAAATCCACTCCATGCCTCCATCCCTCCTCCTCACAATGAGCAGAAAAACATTTAGATGGCTGAACTCAGAGAGTCTGGATCATTATGGGCAGCTGCATTGGGTGGTGCTCTCAAAAGTATCTGTATTCCCCATGTCTCATTTAAAAAGGCTCCCAGAGCAATTTATATATAATTAGTCAAACAAGACACTTTCTGCCACACGGTTTACAAATCCCTCATGGGAAGTGCCAGTGCTGTGTCTTCTTCCTATTTGTGTTTGAGGCAACAAAAGAAAGTAGTGAAGGTCTGGCTAGGAGCTTCAGTGTCAGTTCTTCCCATGTAGTTTGGGGCTTCCAAACCTTTGCATGGGAAAGGATTTGGCATAGTAGTTCTTGCAGTGAAGACAAGAAGTGGCAACAGCAATAATTTGGAGACTAGTTTCACCTTTGCAGGGTCTCAGGCCAAAAGTTGACTTCAGCACCTACACTTTGCTTTCTACTGCTGAGTTGTTGTCCCATTCAGGGGTTATTTCCCATGGTTATCTGAAGGAAAGGAAGTCTTGCTAAGTTCAGTGGATATGCACCAGTAGCGTGGTTACATGCCTTAAGTGACTCTCCATACACTTAAGACAAAATTAGTGGAGTATTTGCCATTGGCCGTTTCAGATTTGACCTTAAGTCAGCCCTCATATTTGTATCTAAAGCAGAAAACTTTCTGGTCATAATATTCTTGGCCAATGGGGAATCACCGATGACTTGCTTATTTGCAGTACCCATAAGGTGTAATCTGTCCTTGTGACTATGGCTGTCTTAGTGTACAAACCCCACAACAGACACTTGGAAGCCCTTGAACTTGGGCATTTAGAAGCATTCAGTGGTAGCACAGCTGAGGCAATCCCTACCTCACCCTGCTTTGTGTCCAGCTAAACCACTGAGGTGGCTGACCCAAGAGTCCCTCCCACCCCACCATGCCCTTGCCCCCTCTCAAAGCCCTAGTTGCACCCTTGGGGTGGGGCAGGTGGTGCAGCTCTTCCTGCTCTGGCTGTGAAGGGGACAGGGTGGTGGTGCTGGAGTCCAGCTGCAAGATTACAGAATCTCAGAGGTGGAATGCCAAAGAATCTTGTGTTTGCATGACATCATTGGGAAGCCATAGATTGTGTCCTTAGATGGGTTATAGGAAATGTAGAATAAACAGATTATATTTGTTTAAACGTTTCTTTAATGTTACTGCAGGCTATACTTATGAGGGAAAATGAAAAATTAGCTGAAGTAATTATAATGCAGGCTGTGCCATTTATTGTGTTTTTAGGCAGTGGAATTGGATCTGGAGAGTGACCCTTTATCCTTAATGGTGGCAGAAGAAGATGATAGGGGGAAAGAGTCCCCCAAGAGAAGGAACCTTGGTTTTCGTGTAGCATTGCAGTTTCCCACCAAGAAATCTGAGAAGACTTCCAAGTTCTGCTTAACAGGCAGTAAACACCCTCACTCTCTTACACAAACAAAAACTAATCAAACCTGGGGCAAAAAAGATCCAGAAACCTCTTCAAAGTCTGGGGAAGAAGCTAAAGAAGTACCAGATGAAAGTTCTAGTGCACTGCTTAAAAGAGCCATGAATATTAAAGAAAATAAAGCCATGGTAAGAACTGGCATGCAAACAGCATTGTCACTCAGTATATCTCAGCATCTTGGTTTCCCTTGGTTTTTAATGCAAGCTCAGAGGATTGAAGGCTGCTGTGTGCATCACAATTGTAGACCAAAAAGTATGTTTCTTTTAGTTGTCTTATCAAATATGTTTTCATATCAAATACTCAAGGTACTGCACAAAACCTAATACAAAGCAAAGATAATGCACAAAACATGCAACCCATTAAAATCAAATTGGAAAGGCTTACTGGAACAAAAAGGTCTTCACTAAGATGATTCCAACAAGAAAAAGATCTGGTGGTCCTCTTTGGGGAGGCTGTTCCTTAAGTGACCATCATAAGCCAGGTTTAGGCCTGGATACCGGAGGACCAGACTCCTCTGGAAGATGTTGCACAGAGGACTATGTTTGAGAGTACCGTGAAGAATATGGGGTACAGGTGTTCCTTCAGCAATGTGGGCCTAGGCTGTGGGAGACTTGAAGGGTAACAACCTACAGCTTCAATTGAACTTGGAAGGAACTGCTAATAACAACATTTTGACATACTTGGGATCACAGTTAGTGCTATGGAGACTGGAAGCATTCACAGCTGTAGCTTGTTGTAACATCTGAATTTAAGTTAGTCTTGATTATGGTTTGCAGAAACATCCACTAACAGCACACACACCGCTGTTGAAATGAAAAACCTGGTTATTCAAGAGAGCTTTACATGTAGAGGCTTCAAAATACTCAATTTTGGAAAATTGGCCTAAATCTGCTCACTTAAAATTCCAAATTTCTATTGGAAATGTATTATTTAGTCCCACTAAGAAAATGATTCTCATCATAGCAGTTTGATTTAAAAAAATAAGAGGTGTGATGTTATAAAGGGAAAAATTAAAATTTATTTTTAATTTTATTAAATAAATGTTTATTTTTTTTGAAAAGGTAAAACTAAACGTATATCAAGTGTATATTGATATAATGGCTTCTAGGAAATGATTTAAATATTGCCTAATTTAATATCATTTTCCTTGTTTCAGCTTGCCCAGTTATTAGCAGAACTAAATTCTATACCTGACCTATTTCCTGTGAAAACTACCTCAACTCCTGTAAGTATCCATGTAACAGTATTCTGGTAGGGGTCATCCTTTTTCTGAAGTGATATAGCATGGTATGTCTTAGGGCTGCTTCTTCTGAGACTTTGGCCTAGTAAACATGATCACTGAGGCTCACCATGGCTTAATATCTACACTGGGCTGTGGTACCCACTGCCAGGTTGCTGATCTAGGATTAACACACCACCTCATAACCTTACCAGAGGCCTTGGATTCTGGTTGGTTTGTTAAATACCCAAGGAAGCCACCCTTACCAGGTTCAGGTGACATGAAAAACCATGCCTCAAGAGAGTAAACGTGTAACTCAACCAGCATGCACAGAGCGGTTAAAAGGCCACTGTGGCTTGTTCACTGCCCTGTGATTGAACAGACTGGGTTGTTCTGCTCTGCTCTGCTCTGCGGCCAGTATGAGTAAACAAAAGAGTGCAGCAACCACAGGATTATTACATTAATCATCCATGTAAGCAAAGTAATGTGTAAAGAGTTGAAATGACCCTATATGGAGCAAGAAATGCCAGAAGTCAAAGCTGGATTCTGAAAAGTAAGAGGCCATAAAGATCATATTGCAAATATACATTGGCTATTTGAGTGCACCAAAGAATTTCAGAAAAAGATCATTCTATGCTTTATGGACCACAGCAAAACCTTTGACTGGGTGGATCACAAGAACCTATGGGTGGTCCTGAAAAAAATGGGGGTGACTCAGCACTTGAATGTCCTAAAGTGAAACAAACAAACTGCAGTTAGGATAGAATATGGAGAAACAGGGTGGCTTCCCATAGGTAAAGGTGTAAGACAAGAATGTATTATATCTCCCGATCATGCAATTTATATGCAGAACATATAAGGAAAGCTGAATTAGAATCAGAGGAAGGAGTGAAAATTGGCAGAAGAAACATCACTAATTTAAGATATGCAGATGATACCATACTACTGGCAGAAAGCAGCAGTGACTCGAAACAACTCCTGATAAAAGTGAAAGAAGCAAGCACAAAAGCAGTACTGCAGTCGAATATCAAAAATAAATCAGATCCACAGAAGAATTACAGAACTTCACTGTTAATAATGAAAAAAGCTAAATTGTGGAAGATTTCACATACTTCCACCCAGTCATCAATTCAAAGGGAGACTGTAGCCAGTCTTCTGCAGAGCCTTGGAAGGGCAGAAATGAAGGAACTAAAAAAGATTATCAAGTGTAAAGATGTTTTACTGGAGACCATGACCAAGATCATCTAAGCTATTGTATTCCCAGTCATAATGGGATGGCTGTGAAAGCTGGCCGGTGAAGAAAGCTGACAAAGAGAAAATTGATGTGTTTGAAACATAGTACTGGAGGATAGCTTTGTGAATATCCTTGACTGACAGACAAGTGACTTCTAGATCAAATAAAGCCAGAGCTGTCCCTAGAAGCAAAAATGATAAAACTGAGGCTGCCATACTCATGACACATCACGAGAAGGCAAGACTCACTGGAAAAGACAATCATGTTATTGAAAGTTGAAGGCAGAAGATGAAAGGGAAAACTAAACAGATGTATTGGATCTAGAAAGGAAGCCACAGCCTTGAACAAGGAAGAGCTGAATGGAGCTGTCATGGACAGGACATTTGGAGGTCTTTTATTCATACAGCAGCCATACATTGGAGACAAGTTGATGGTACGTAATACACACATGAATGAACAAGATGATGCATGTATACAAAGTACATGTACTTTGTACATTTGTAGGATGAAATAACAAATACTCTCTTCCTTTCAACAATACATGACTTGGAAAGGATTAGTGCATCCCAACTTGTGCTTCTGTGACATTTCCTTCTAGTATATATAACTGCATCATTTCGTAACCAAAACACCTTTGTGTGCATGAACTCTGTTCAGAAAAGCAGAAAAGTATATGAAGAATAAAGAGAATTCTGTGTAAAGAAATTACAAATGAAAAAAGCAGCATCTGCAATTCTGTGTACCCCTTAATAAACTACAGCACTTCCTGTAGTGTAAGAGCAATAAAGAAAACAAAGGACTAGCCTAGGCACAGTGGCAGAGGTGCAAAGGTTTGGAAAGAGCAGCTGAGAGGGATTAGGGCCTTTTTCCTGGACTGTTTTCCCAATGAAAACCTGAGCACATCCAACATTGTTTTGTGCCTCAGTTGGACATGGCTGTACACTTTATGCTTTTCTAGATGGCACACATGGCCTGCAATATTCGATTTTTTAGAAATGGAAGTTCAGGAAGTACTGTACTCACATTCTACAAGGTAAAGGTCATGAGAGTAACTGATTAAAGCTCTGTTTTTTTCTTCCTAGAAGCAGAAGAAAACACCAAGGAAAACATTTTCAGAAGGGCAGATAGAGCGTCGTACGAACCCTACCAGGAATGCTCGTCCGCCAGAGAAATTTGCCTTGGAAAACTTCACTGCATCTGCTGTCAGATTTGCAGAACAACTTAACAGTTACAGACGACAGAACCTTTTAAAGAAAAGACTAAAAGGGGTATGTGCCCACTTTACCTTGTTCACTGCTTGTTGTTTATTGTGAAATAATAATCGTAGTAATCACCATCATCATTACAAAGCACTTGTCAATGACTGGACAGTAGGGGTAAATTAAGCCAAAAATCTAAAATGTCCATGTAGTTCTGAATATGCTCTTGACAGGTTTGCTCTAGAAAAGGGCAAGGCCATTCAGAGGGAAATGGATGGATAGAATTGGATTGATGATGTACAACATATAAAGTTTCTGCTGGGCATATTAAAAATAAAACTGAAAGAAATAAAGAGATGTTTTGTATTTTATAGTTTGAAAACTGGCTGGAATATAAACTGAAAAAATTGGCACCAGGGTCCTCAGCCTAGTCAGTTTTATGGGTTGCCAACCCAACTGCAGTATAAACTATAGATATATAGGGGAAATAACCAAGAACCATTGGCACAATCATGCTTCCTGGGACTTGTAATGTGTTCTCCTACTGATGTACTAAACTAGGTTATTTAGTCCTAAATAGTTCCCATCATACCACTCATTAATATTTTCCCTTGTGTTTTTATAAGCTTTGAGGTCATGTGTATCTTCCAGACGTTTTAGACTAAAACACCTAGCATTCCTGATCACTGGCCTTGCTGGGGACAATGGAAGTTAAAGTCTGTGTCTGAAGGACACCAGGCTGCTTCAGTCTGGCAAGGATCACTTTATAAGTTGATAGTTCTTTATAATGTTGATTCTAAATGTAATGAGCCTAGTTCTGCTTTGGGTAACAGAAATGAAGTACAAAGGTGATGCTGAAGTGAGCTCCTTTCATAGGGCAATGTGGAGGTCCGTAAAAGACGAAGGTCATCAAAATACTGTTCATTCCGATCGGTTGAAGATATAACTGATGAAGATTTAGAAAATGTTGCAATAACGGTTAAAGATAAAATCTATGATAAGGTTCTGGTAGGTACAGACTTTCTTCTTTAGATACTTGGGTGTGCCTAAATTATGCAGATATAATACTTAACTCATTTTTGACTATCCTGTCCATTTGTTTTATGTTTATACCTAGATTTGCATTTAATATGTTGACTAAATTGCTACTACTGTACTCATTGTGCTGGGCTTAAATGTCGCTTTTCTTTTCATTGCCTTCCTAAAGTGAGTGCAGTGCATTGTCATTTTATTTCAAAGTACTTTTTACCTTAATTAGAGTGAGTAATAACATTGTACATTTTTACAACACAGACATAAATATCTACTAGTGATCTGGCAGGGTATTATGAGGAGGAGATGCTTGCTGGAAAAAAAAAACTTAGCTTCACACTGGCTTCACACTGGCAATTTCTATCATAATAAAAGCTGAAATTAAAACTACTGTACTGTGTTAACTAAATTCATTTTGGCAAACTATCTTGAACACCAGTATATAATATTAGTACAGAGATCCTTATTCTAATTTTACAAATGAAGAAGTGACCAAAAGCAATTTCACCAAGTCAATTTGGACTGACAGAAAATGCCATTAATGACTGACATTAATCAAGAAAATGCCAGTGCACAGCTGCCTCTAAGGACACCTGTCCATTTTGGGCTGGAACTTGGAGGATATCATGGGAAAACTGGAACCTTTTCTGGAGGTAGGGGAACTAGCCTAGACACAACTTTAATATTCTAGAACTTGCCCAATAACTTAAGTACAAGGGAGAAGTGGGTTTGGAGTACATCTGTGTATACACACATCATACCCAGGCAAAACACAAAGCTAAACTAAAGAAACAAGCTGACATACATATCATTCAAAAGGTAGAAGAGGAATACAGTGCAGGTAAAATACATACAATTCCTCTCCCACAGCACTTCTTACCATCACCAGCCAGTTAATCTTTTTTGTTTTTCTGGGTGGCTGAGCTACAGCCACTGAGATTTTGTATTTTCTAAGAACACCTCTGGGGCCAAAGGGGGCTCAGAGGCACTTTTGGATAGAAAAATGGCCCTGGAACTGGCAGCTGACTCCAAGACCAATATTAAATGAGCAGACAGAGATCCTAGTGGGTTCCAAGGGACCTCATGCTCCTATTATTGGGAAGAGATTTATCCGTCCAAATTTGGCCCTAGGAGTAGTTCAGCTTGGGAAGATTGGAAGCAGACCAAAATGACTATGCATTTCAGCTAGCTGGTGGAGAGAAGTGGTTTGATTTCTATGTTAAGCCCATCCACCTGCACCTGAAAGATCTCAACTGCAGATGACTTCATGCTCCCAGAGTAAATGGAGACTGGAGTATATACACAGCCTGAGATTAAGAAGGATTAGCAGTGACTTGCACCGCGGTGACCATCCATTCTATGAAACAGGCTTTCCCAACTCTGTTGAAAACAATCTTCTGGGTAGAACTAGGATATTTATAAATCTAGTAAGATCTTACTTTGGTATTTCCATGTATAATTTAAGTCCAAAGTTCTTGCTTTACACATATGACAAATTCATATTATGATCTTTTTCTTAAGGCAAAGTTTCAGCATTGTTTTAAACTTCCATTTCATATTGGCTGAAAGAGTACTCTGTCTTTCAACACACTCAACAAAAATGTAGGATTTGTATGATTTTGAAGAGTAAAAAGGTTGCTTGTAATATTCTGTCCAAGCAAGTTTACTTTAAACTGCTTTGGAAAAGTTTTTATTAACAAGGTAATATTGTAGATTGATTCCTTGAATAATAATTTCCTTCCTAACTGTATGCACAATAGGGAAGCACATGCCATCAGTGTCGACAAAAGACAATTGACACAAAGACAGTGTGTCGTAATGAAGGCTGTGGGGGCATGAGGGGTCAGTTCTGTGGGCCATGCCTGCGTAATCGATATGGAGAAGATGTGAAGTCAGCACTTCTAGACCCAGTAAGTAGACCCAGGTGGTTGTTTAGGGAGTGGGATAGAGATTTCCATGCTAGAAAAATAATTGGAGATCTAGTAGCTGCAGTGATGTTACAATGTGGTGTATATCCCTGCAGCTGTGCTGCCTAGTATAGCAATTAATACTTAATTCCCTTCCTTCTTGTTTCTTTAAGGACTGGTTCTGTCCTCCTTGCCGTGGGATCTGTAATTGCAGCTACTGTCGCAAACGTGATGGTCGTTGTGCTACAGGAATGCTCATCCACCTGGCCAAGTTTTATGGCTATGACAACGTAAAAGAATATCTTGAAAGGTATGGGGCTGCCCTACAAATCATATTAGTACAGTGCATTCAGAGTTTGTCTGCATGTAACCATAACCAAACACAAACTTGGATGAGGAATATTTAAGAGTTCTCTGAGGATGACCCTTGAACTTGGGATAAAAAGTTCCATGTGTCCTGATTTCACTGTTTAAGAATAATCTGAAAATCCCATTACCCAGGTCATCCCATTACTCCACTGACATGAACAGAAGGCTCTCTTGACTTCCGTAGAGCTGGAAAAAGGGATTTCCTGCTCAAGAATAGCTCAAGAAGTCCACCTTACTGCAAGGTGCCCAGGGTCCTTGGTAGTGGTGAGGTGCTGAGGTTCTCCTCTCCTCAAGCCATTTTCCACCAGGGCATCCCATCACTATTAAAGCATGCCGAGGGGGAGGTGAAGGGGTAGAAGAGTTGAGGAGCAGCAAGGAACCTGGCGGGCATGCTGGGTGCACGGGGTGAGATCTTGGCAGTTGTCATCTTGCTGACCTCAGACTTAGGTGGACTGCTAGGTACGTATTCTTCCATGTTTTCATGTGTTTGTTGTTTGCAAAGCAGAACATGCACTCTTAAATATGCCCTTCACATGTAAGATACTTGTTCTCCAAGATGAGTTTCACCAACACATTTAACATGATTATGGCCCTCTGTGATATAGCCAGTAGTACGAACTTACCTTTTCCTTAACCTCTAAAAGTTAAATACTCTTCTGTTTTCTTTTCTAGCTTACAAAAGCAACTTGCTGAGGATGACTGAAAATACCTGACATAGCTGTGCAAATTATTTCTTTGTTTTACTTAAATCAGAGTCGACAATTTTATCACAATGATGTCTATATGTCTAGAAATTTAGGTCACAATTGCTTACTTTTAAATTGGTGTTGTATGTATTATAAGGATTTCTCAGGTAAACAACTGTTAAAGGAATCTGTATATGTTCTTTGCCCCAACACTCTGTGATTTTTCTTCTGAGAAATCCTTGCTGAAATAAATGTCAGCTAAAGCAGGCAGCGTTCATTTCCATGGGGCTACTGCAGGGGAAATGTATGTGGACTGTGCTGCTTAGGATAAGATTCCAGCAGTCAATGCTCAAGAGATACAAATCTTTCAATTATATTTGATTCCATTAGTACTATTTTCAGTTCATCTCTTAGATTTTAGAAACTTAATGTTGGAGCAGTATTTTATTCCATGGGAAGAATGTTAATCCTCTCAATATTTGTTTTTAATCCCCCTAAAATCTGTTGTTGGCAACTTATTTCAAACAAACCCACTCTGACATGTTTGCCATGTCATTAATATTTTGACATTTAAGTTTATGTCTGTGTTTCTTAAACCTTTTGAATTGCAATGGACAGGGGATGCAGATGTATTCTAGCCTTCTGTAAGATTAGTTATCTATGCTACTGTGGATCATGCAGAACTGTCCAAGCACTCATGAGAATATTGTAATAAAATCCTGCTATCGAAAAGACAGATTGGATGAATCACGTAAGCGCTCCTAGAATAACACAGAAGGAAACACCATCACAGTTAACGTTGCCTAAAATTAATTATCCAGGACAGAATAGCATCAAACTCAGCGGTTGAATTTTTTCCACTTTCAGTGGAAAAGGGTTAAAGTGTACTTAAATCCACCGTCAAAACTAGTGATATTTTTAGAAGATAAGAAGAGCCATGCTGGATCAGACCAAAGGCCTGTGTAGCTGAACATGCTGTTCACCCAGTGACACAACAGCTGCCTTGGAAAGCCCTCAAATGAAGTAAAACACCAACATGTTTGCAGCGCCTCAGCAGGGGAGAAAAATTCTCAGTGGCTAATGGCTTCACAGCGGACGATGCAGCTCTGCATGATTTTGCTTTGTATATTTAACATTGATGTCCTGCCACTTGGAAAGAATGGTGAGCAATAAGATAACTTTGTCAGAAGTCAGGCTCTACCAAAGGTTCCCCCCCCTCATCAGATGCAAATAATGAATCAAAGGTCTGTTTCAAAAGCTCCTTTCCATCTGTTATAAGCTGCACTATGTAATCAGAGGAGGTTTCCTCAAAGTACAATTAACCAATGCAAACTGCGTAGTGCTGAAGCCTGCCAGTGATGGCTGCTTCTACCACAGCTTTTTGACATCTTAAGGCTTGGTCAAAGTAATTTCTAAAATTTAGTTGATTGCCAGTTGTGTGTACCTCAGAGGTGAAGTAGACATAACACTGATATTCATCTAAATAAAAAGTTACATAGCGCTTATGATATTAAGAGACATGTTGCAAAGGCTTAAAGCAGTCGAAAATCTTGCTAAACCTCGAGAATGCAGTGGGCGATCTTGGTACATCAGTCATGCTGGCATCCACCTGCAGGACATTGGGCTTACGGTGATCAATAAGATGACTATTTTATACACTGGAGTATTGAACCTAATGTTTATTTTGATATTGCTATGTTGATATTAAATGAGCAAGAAAACACATTTCTTAACAGAGATCTATTTTTAAAACAAGAAAAAAAGCATTTTACCTTCAGACTATGATCACATCTGAGCTGTTCCAAGTTGCCTACCGGGGTTAACGAAATTAATTACTAATCTGCTTTGGGACTTTTCTTGGGGTGTATGTGTACTATTCTTTTTAATGTGCTGTATATAACAAATAGTTCATTTTTATATTAAACAGAAGTGTTGCACAGAATTGTCATGACTTGTAAGTGCTAACATGTATTATGCTTAAATGTGAGAAGACCTATTCTACTTTGGCTTGCATAGCAACATCTAGATTCTGCAGTTCTATTCCTAAACTGCCAGTAACAAGGCTACTCCCGCAAGCACCCATTTGGCTGGCCTTTCTTTGCTTTTCAAATGAAAAGTCCAGACGTAAGTGGGCCCTCGAATTCTAGTTTTATAAACTGGACATTTATACACATGCTTGGTTTCTTGCCTGTCTGCTGGAATTGCTCTTACAAAGATGACTGGCATTGCTGGGGTCAAGTCCTTCAGTCGTGCTTCAACTAGGATTCCTGCTTGAATATCCCATCTAGCTCCTGTAACCAGATGAACATACAGCCTTTACTTGCATGGAAATAAATGTGTCTCTAGGTCGAAAGAATTCCCTTGCTTAAACCTGTGACGTTCTCTTGACTATATTAAACCTATATTCACATACCTGGGAGTAAATCTTGAGTTTAACAGGGCTTCTTTAATATTTTTTTAATTCTGTAGTAGGAACCTTTATACAATTCTATAGAAGATTAGGGGAAAATGTATTCAGCCATTGTAAGTGCTACACAAATGATAGTGAATGTGGCAATATTAAACCTGTGCAATCTTGTTTTATGTAAAGGACATTCAGTATTCTCTTGAAAATAAGGGGAAGTGGGCCAGGATGTTCAGGCTTATAGTGCTTTGCTCCCCCCCCCCCCCCGCAAAAAAAAAGAATAAAAGGGGAAAAAAGAGTCTAGCATCTTAGTAGCTGCCAAAATAGGAACACCAGAAAAACAGTTAAAACTTGAAATCTCATTGTTTTAAAGTTTCATCTGGGCTACACAGTACTCTTGAACAGTGATAAAGCAATGCTCAAGCTAGTGGTAGGAATACTTGCCACATTTGTAGTTGGTCCAGTCAAAAGTGCACTTTCATTTGCTTTTTGTCTGATATTGATGGCATTTCCATGGGTGGATGAAGAGAGTTTCAACAGAAGGTCACTTTTGCATGGTTAACTTAGTAGACTTACCTTCCATAAAAAGGCCAAAGATATATGCTCCTTCCCTTGGAGGATGACCATAATCCTCTCTACTTTTTTTGGTAACATCTGTAGTCAAACACATCTTATCCAGAGACCAGTTGTTCTTCCGGGCCATGCTTTGCATTATAGCTTTAAAGAAGAGAGAGACTGTGGGTGACTGAATTGTCTTAGCCTACTTTGGGTGGATTAGGGTAACCAGGTAAAGGAGTAATCACAGTTCCTTTTAAAATTCTAGGACTATAACTTTTTGAATTTTGTTCAGCTACAAAGTGTTGAAGAAACGATATCTTTCCAGGTGTGGCAAACAAACCTATCCTATCTACACAGTTTCTCAGACCAGTTAAGTGTTCTCAATCGCTAATGTCATCAACTCGTAACTCTGTACAGGCTTATGGAAATCACTTCTACTGCAATTACAAGATTCAATTATATGTAATTTTAGGGTATTTTGAAAACATTAATTATACTTCTGTCCAGCTTGTCAAGAGCAGCTTACATAGAACTCTCAGTGCTGCTGAATAGGCCTGCACTGACTTATCTTCCTGCACCGCTATTGCTTCTGATGCTCCTACATCATTCAGCAACCTCCTTGCTGATCCAGTATGTCATTTATTAATCAGTGCCTTGACTTTCAGCCCCTTTAGCTCTGGTAAGTTTTTAAATGAAGTGTTCTCATTTGCTCCATGTGTATTAGATGAGCACTATGGCATTTCTAATGTAACTAGCTGTTAAGAAACAGGAACTCAAAGGCAACCCTTTCAGACTATTATGTAAAACTAGTCCTACTGTTGGGTCTAATTTCTTTGACCTTTACATATGATAAATTAATACTACGTACCAGTCAAAAAAGACTGAGGATTAAAGAAGCCAGAAAGCCACACCACAGCAGGAAGTACAAGATCTTGTGTCCAGGTATCAAGCTCTCGGCATCGTGCAAGAAGGTCATTAAACCTGAAGAAAAGCAGCAAAAGAATCAGTCAACAGGGACAGGCTGTGGTGTTAGTAGATAGCAGGAGGGTATCATCTTTCAGTTGGATTGACAAAACCACAAAGAGTGACATTGCTAATTTATTATATAATTAAATCACCCTTCATTCTTATGGATATTGGGGTGGTGTACAATAGTATGATCAAAATGGCCACATCATCATTATCACAAAAAAATGTGTCGTAACAACAGACCCTGAAGATTGTCAGTCTATCCTAACATCAGCACCTAATGCCAAGACCATGAAATGTAGACACATGAAACTTTGTATGCATATTAAGAGGATCCTCTGGATTGTACATCTTGGTGTTATTTTTGCTTTTAAAACAGATTAATTTTTATTTTAAAATGTTCATGTAGTTGAACACTTAAGTAATACCTTTGATAACGAGGGACAGACTTTCAAAATCAGCAAGTAAATTTACAGTTTGAAGCCAGATGAAATTAGCTAGTCAAAAGAGGGCTTGGGATCTGTGCCTTCCTGCCTTTTGAAAGACTCCCTCTCACTGTAGGGGTATCCCTGGATTGCTAGCAGGAATAGCTTAACTCAGATGGCATCACCACAATGTGTCTAACTCCTGACAGTCACGTAAGTCTGCTTGAGAGCTTTGCTGTATCAAACCATGAGCTATTCCAAATTATGCAAAGCCAAACAAATAAAACAACATCCTTATGCTGCTGTTTCAGAAAAAATTGGATGCTATCTATCTCTGAAACCATAAGACATGAAAATTATCACTGATACTGTGCTGTAAAATACACCAGTATTGTCATAAATCCACCTTTAAGTCCAAAGTTCTTATTTAAATGCCTTAATTAATGGTCCATATTTTAAATATGGAGACTTTTAATAATATTGGAATCCCTGCTATGTGTCAAATAACAACTGCCTGTTTTTAAAATAAGAGTATTACCATTGTGCAAGGCTGTAAGTGGATGGATAAGCCAGATTGGTCCACACATCTGGCACCAGGTCATAAAACAGTGATGACTGCAAGGCTTCCATTGTGGGAGAAAATGTCAGCTCACCCTAGATGTTCAGAAGTGAAAAGATAATTAATAGACTCCCCCTTGATTCTCACACTGTTTATTAATAAATTGTTTTTCTTACTTTCAAGCCAAGGTCTAGTTGCTTCAGTGACCGCCGTATCTCTCGAATAAGAATATTCATCCTCTCACATTCTTGAAAGCAAACAAGAACATAGGGACTTCGTTGGGCAGACTTTTGCATTATTTCAGTCATGTTAAACTCCTCTGGCAGCTTCTCCGAAATTTCATCCAGGACATTCTTCACCTTAGCATATGAATACAAAGGAAAATTAATAAAGGTTTCTTGACCATACACATGTTCTCTTGAAGATACCTCCAGTAAGGCCTGAAAGATGGGCTTGTGGTTCAATATTTCTTAAATGGAGTATAGGCTGTTTGTGTGCATTTCTTTGTTATACATAATTTTGGATTTAAATTAGAGCATGACTTTCAAACTGCAATGCACCCACTATCTTAAGGTTTATGAGATGGAAATTTTTCAGGGAAGGATAGGATCCTGAGGCAGATGGGGACCATTTCCCCAAAATACAGCATTCTAAGTGGATACTTCAGAACTCTGAAAGCTGAACTGGATTAAGAGGTAGGCTTGGAATGATTAGCTGAACTGCCAAGGTCAATGGGCTGCGAGAGAAGGCAAGTGGCTGGTGAGGACCAAGCTCTCTCTGGAAAGGGGAAGACACTGTGGAATGGGAGTTGGGGTGA